TAAAAATTGTAATTTTTGGACGAGAGAAATACTAAATAAATAATAATGCTGAGGAGCTATTTTGACTATTTGGTAACAAATTACGATATAACAACAATGAGACATGCAAAAAATTGGATTAACGACCTTAACAAATTAGCAGCAAATAAAATCAGATTAATATTTTTAATACAATGTAAACATAAACAAGTATATCCTAAACACATTATTAACAACTTAAAATGTATGTACGCTATTTAAGCTGAAACACATCCTTACAAAAAAGAGACAGATAAATTAATTAAGTCTCTAAAACATAAGATCCTTATGTTAGAAATAAAAATTACCGCTTGGAAAGTTAAGACAATCGAAAAGAGCATCAACAAAACACAGAATGTTTTAAAGAATAAAATATCAGTGACAGATTTTARCAATTGCACAACATCTTTTAACAAGAATTATGAAAACAAATTTAAAATTACTAAAAAGAATAACATAAAAAAATTAAATAACTAATTAAATGACATTTCACATAACAATAATAAAATAAATAGACAAAGTAGTTGTATTTATAATTTTACGGATGTTCAGCTACCACGCGAAGTGGAAAAAACATTAAGTCTAGAACCAGGGTACGGTATCCCGTTAAGACCGAATTAAGTTCCAGTTTGTTCGTTAATAAAAGACTTAGAGGAAGGGATAAGACATATTAATAGCACGAAAAGTGATAATACGAGTATAAAGGATGAACAAAACAATGTAGGAGTTAAGGCGGTTAATATAATTTCGAATTATTACAAAAATAACCAAAGACTATGGAAGGATGAATTAACAAAAAACTTTGTAACAACAAAACGTTTCCTAAAAGACAATACGAATTTAATTATAATGAGATCGGACAAAGGGAATAACACAGTTATTATGAAGAAAGAAGAATATTTAAATGAAATGCATAAAATGTTACAAAACAAAGACATATATCAGTTATTGAATAAAGATCCTACCAGTAGATTCGAGAAATTAGCCAATAATTTAATAAYGAAACTAAGAAAAGAATCGATTATCACGGAAGAGATAGAAAAGAATATGAAATCTTACAATTCGGTCGCCCCAAAAATATATGGACTAAGGAAAACACATAAACAAAGCCTAACCTTAAGACCAGTTGTAAGCTGCATTCGTT